CCAGACAGCGCCCTCGGTGGGTCCCCAGAGCCGGGACCAGGAAGACAGACCCTCTGCACTCCCATGGGTGTCACCGCTGGGGAAGCTGAAGCCCTGAGGGCACAGCACCCAGGGGTGGGTGCATGGGACTTGGCATTGGCTTTGTCCTGTGAGGCGGGAACAGTATCCCACAGAGCCTACCCTGCTTCACCGGGCAGTGGCTGATTTCCACAACTGTGATGGGGTCTCCACGGGGCTGGCGGGGCCTGGTATCTCCCCCAGGAAGTGACGGGATGGGGTCTCCGAAGGGATGGGCCCAGCAGCAAGGACTTCCCCTGGCACCTGGGAAGAGAAAGTGTGCATGGGAGGGGGCCGATTTCAGCACCTCCCCAAGTAATTGGGGGTCGGAGAGGGGAGGTTGACACACGATCCCCAGGCAGTGATGGCACCCTATCCCCAGCTGGCCTCGCCTATTCAAACCTGGTGTACGACTGGGTGAAAGCAGCCGTCCTCTTTGGCGTCGTCAACACCGTGGCACGCCTCGACCACCTGGACCCGCCCCGGCCTCCAAAGTGCATCACAGCACTCTACGTCTTTGGGGAAACGTGAGTGCTGACAGGGGAGGCTCCGCCTGGAATCCCCACCTTCCCCAAGCCTCTTCCCCGTGCCCGGGGAGCTCTGCCCCGGCAGATTCACATCCATCTGCTCTCCCCGTACAGGCACTTCGACCGTGGCATCAACGACTGGCTTTGCAAGTGAGTTGGGAGTGGAGGATGGTCACAGCCATCCTGCCAGGTGTCTGGGCAGGGAAGAGCCACGATCAGCCCACGTTTTTAAAGTTCACCCCTGGGCGAGAGGAAGCAAGGAGGGCAGTGAGGAGGTCGTGGCAGAGGTCTAGGTGAAAGACGTAGAGGTCTGGACTTGGGTGAGGGCCCCGCAGGTAGAGATGGGGGTGAGAGTAGAGACACACCGCAGGGACCCTTGGCAGGACTGGGCCTGCAGTGCAGGTACAGGGAAGGAGAGGGAAATGACTCCCAAATTCCTGTCTGCAGCCTGGGAGGACGGAGGGCTGGTTTCCAGAGAGGGATTCGGTGTGAGGAGTGTCTAGTCGGAACGCAGGCAGCATCCTTGCGGAGAGTCAGGGAGGTGGGTGGGCCTGAGGTCTCGGGTTCAGAGCGGCTTAGGGGCCGATGGGCTCTGAGCATCCTGACTGTGGGCGCTTGGCCTTTGGCCTTGTGAGTGGATCAGTCCTGAGGAGAGAGAGTAGAGTGAGAGAGGAGAGAGGGGGTGGCCAAGACTGGGCCTGCGAGGACTCTGGTTGGGGGAGGAGGAAGAGCCAGCAGAAGGGGCGGACAGGAGTGGTCAGAGGAGCAGGAGAATCAAGGCTGGGGATGCCCTGGAAGCCAAGGGAGGACCATCAGGCGTGGCGGGGCGGCTGGGGCAGGTGCTTCGCAGGCCCAAGGAAGCTGGACACTGAGGATGAGTGTTGGTGACATGCAGCCTTGGGCTGGAGAGGCAAGGGCAGGTGGGAGTGGAGGGAAGCTGAGGAACTACAGGGGCTGTGTGGACGACTCCTGAAGAAGCCTGGGGCTGAAGGGGCAAGTCAGAGCAGTGGCTGGGGGGAGTGGGGTGTTTTAAAGACAGGAGATAATGGATGTGCCGAGGGGAATTACCCAACAGGAAAGAGCTGGTGATGCAGGATGCAGGGTTGACTGAGGGAGCGAGGTCCCTGGGGAGGGAGGAGGCCATGGCATCCAGGTCCAGGCAGAGGCCTGGCTTTGGGAGGAGGAGGAGGCAGCGGAGGAGCCAGCATGGACACAGAAGAATGGCAGGTTAGTGTAGAAAAGTAAGGGATTCCACGTGTCCTCTGTGAAGTAGGTGGCCTAGTCATCGGCTGAGAGCTGCGGGGCTGGGGACAGGAAGGAGGCGGCACCCAGGCCTCCCCTGCCCGCCCCACACCCGCTCCCACTTGCGGGAGGGATGAGGGCACAGCCACTGCAGGGCCCAGAAGAAGCAGCTGACTAGAGAAACTGTGGCATTGAGAGCCCGAGTGGTGTTGCAGGTCGTGGGTTTACAGACCCCAGTGTGCGAAGATGTGTGATTTTCCCATCAGGGCTTAGCTGCTTGGGTGCAGGTGAGGAGACAGTAGGCGACTGGCTCTCCCAGATGAGTGAGAGGAGGAAGTGAGGTATACGGGTTTTTAGGTTATTTATAATGACGACTCATTGGAGGAGCAGCTACCTGAGGTCTTGTTAAGGAGGGTGGTGAAGACAGGAGGTCACAAGCTCAGTGGGACTAAAGGACTGAAGCTGGGGGCCAGAAGTCAGGAGGGGCTGGACAGAGTGGGAATTAGGAAGTGGTAAAATTTCAAGTGGTGACAAAGTTGGGGCGTGGCCATGGGCGTGGGTGGCTGCAGTGGCTTGGAGAAAAAAACACTGGAAATGAGGAGGTCGAGGAATGGAGAGGCTGGTTACTCAATGGGTCTTCCACTGAATTTATTCAACAAATATTTACTGAGCACCTACTATGTGCCAGGCACTGTTCTAGGCACTGGGGACACATCAGTGAACATGGCAAAGACCCTGAACTCATGGAGCTTACAGTCTAGTGGGGAGAAACAGACCATAAACAGGTAAACAAACATAAATAAGATAATTTTAGAGAGTGGTAAGTGTTATGAAGAAAATACGACATGTAAGGGGAAAGAAGTTGGCAACAGGGTAGAAGCTTCTTTCGTTGGGGTCTGGATGGGCTTCTCTGGGGAGATGATGTGTGAACCGACACCCGAGTGACACGGAGATCTGGGAAGAGAATTCCAGGCAGAGGCAGCAACTGCAGAGGCCTTGAGGCACGAACCAACTGAGTGTGTCTGAGGCCAGTAAGACCAGCGGGGTCGACAGGGAGAATGGAGGCACGAGGTCAGGGAGGGGCAGGACCAGGCTATAGGGGCTCTCCCAGCCCGAGAAAGGAGGTGGAGCTTATTCCAATTGTGATGGGAGGCCACTGAGAGAGGCTAATCATGAAAGTGATGCGACCCGAGCTACACTCTAACGCTGCCTCTGGCTGCTGCGTGGTGAATGGGCCGTAGCCGCAAAGACAGAAGCGGGAAAACCACCTAAGAGGCTCTCGCAATAATCAGTGTGAGAGATGCACACCCCGACTGAGGAGTAGAGGACGTGGTGAGCCGTGGGCAGGACCGAGTGGAGAAACAGAACATGCTGGCTTGCTTGGAGATGGGCGACGAGGGAAGCGGAGAGTCCAAGCGGGTGCCAGGGCTATAGCAATGAGCGGTGGTGCCAGTAACCGAGAGGCAGGGATGGGCAATCAGCATCCACGTGAGATGCCTATAGCAGTTGGATGCATGAGTCAGGAGAGACTGGGCTGAAGACACAGATTTGGGGGTCATCAGCGTAGAGCCAGATGTGAAGTCCTGGGTGTGGATGACATCACTTGGGGAGGAAGTGAGCAGAGACAGAGAGGATATGCTGTCCGAGGCCAAGTCCTCCACAGCGTGAAGCTGGCTAGAGGAGGAGGAGCCTACCTGAGGTCGGGGACGTTGAATGTGCCCAAGGTGACAGCGCTGAGGAGGGCTGCCCTGTTGTGTCCTCTGCCCGTCTCATACCTGCTCTTTCCCACACTTCCTTCGGCCCCTTCTCCCGTCTTTCCTGCAGATATGTGTATGACCACATTGGTGGGGAGCACTCCCAGGTGATCCCAGAGCTAGGGGCCTCGGTGGCCACATTTGCCATCACCACTCTGTGGCTCGGGCCTTGTGACATTGTCTACCTGTGGTCATTCCTTAACTGCTTTGGCCTCAACTTTGAGCTCTGGGTGCAGAAGCTGGCAGAGTGGGGGCCCCTAGCACGAACTGAGGTGAGCAGGGAAGGTCTGGGCTGGGACTGGCTGGCTCTCGGGGGAGGGTGGGGACTGCTGCTTTCTGGGGTTGTCCAATCACTTGGCCCCCAGTGCAGAACTTTCTCACCACCACCCTCCTGTTGTCAGGACAATGGCTCACCTGTGGGAACCTGGCCCTCCCCACCTTTTGTGGGGAATGGAGCACCCGGGCCTGCCTGGGTTGCTCAGCCCTCACCCTCTCTCTGGACCTCAGTTTCCCCATGTTTAACAATGAGGGAGACCAGGCGTACCCTCAGGACCTGAGTAGCCATGTGGGCAGAGCCGCTGACCAACCGTGTCCTCTTTCCTTTGGGCCTCTTGCCCTGCTTCCAATGCTTTCCTGGACTGGGCAGGCCTCTCTGTCGGAGCAGATGTCCCGCAGGGTCCGGGCCCTCTTTGGGGCCATGAACTTCTGGGCTATCATCATGTACAACCTTGTGAGCCTGAACAGCGTCGAGTTCACAGAGCTGGTTGCCCGGCGCCTGCTACTCAAAGGTGAGGGACGGGGGTGTGAAATGCAGAACATGCCAGGCATCAACCTCTAGGACTCTGACCTTCTGAAATGCCCCTACCCGCCCAACACCCCAGGGACTTGGCAGGGAGGGCCAGTCAGGCGGGCAGAGGGATGGGAAGAGAAGAGTCACTGAGGAAGGGGTGCTGCTCCGGTGCATTGACAACTTCTTCCCTACACAGGGTTCCCGCAGACCACACTGGCCGTCCTGTTTGTCACCTACTGTGGTGTCCAGCTGGTGAAGGAACGTGAGCGAACCCTGGCACTGGAGGAGGAGCAGAAGCAGGACAAAGAGAAGCCGGAGTAGGTGGGAGGGGGACGGGGACAGGCTCTGCTCAGCTATTCCTGTGCCCCAGGCCCAAGCCGGGCCAGATGGGGCCAACACAGAATAAAAGACTTTTCTACGACAGCCTGCTGTTCCCTGCGCCTTCTCCCAGCAGTCTCCTGCTCCTTGTCTATGCCAGCTGAGGAGCCGGGGGCTCTAGGCCTCAGGGAGGGCCACAGACAGAGTGTGGAGGAGACAGTACATGGAGGGCAGAGACCACCGCCCCTGGCAACCCAACTGCAGAACACTGAAGCCCTGAATCTCCAAACCACCAGGTCACTGACTTGGCACCTGATTCCAGACCTAAGCTGCTTGCTCAGAAGGCACTTTATTCTTCTTAGCAAAGGAGACTTATCCACGCTGCAAGGTGCGCTTGAAGGGGACACTCCCATCTGGGGGAACTTACGTGGCACACACAGCCAGGCTGGGGCAGGGCCAGGGTGCACCTGGGATCCACCCCTGTGGTTCTGGCTCATGGACGGAGAACACCCGGAGGGATATGGTGACACTGGAGAAGCCTCTAGTTCCTTGGCCCTGCCCGAAAGCTAGGACTAGGCAGGGATTTCCCTTTCCTGGCTGAAGCAGCCCCTCAGGCACCATAACTGGATCCAGGGGTGCTCTGGCCTCTCCTGGCCTCCTCCTCGGAGCCCCCACGAGGCCAGGTCTGTGAGTGCTGCAGGACGGGAGCAGCGCTTGGTTCAAGCCCTCTGGGCTGGTCACATCTTGGTCAGGCGCAGCACGTTGAGCCGCACAGGCAGGAAGGTGGCACCGGCCGCGTAGGCGATCTCCCGCAGGACACCCTCCCACTTCTTCTCATCCTCGTTATACCTGGAGGGTGGAGTGGGGAGAGCGGGGACAAGGATGGGCAGCTTGGTCAGCTGAGCCTAGAGTGGAACTCAGCAGAGAGGGGTGGCTGAGTGCACTGGGCCTGTCTCTAGGTAGATCTGTCTCTGGAAAGTTCCCCTGTTCTGGGAAAGGAGGCCCGTGCAAGACCCACCACAAAGAACACTCACCTCACACTCAGGAAGAGCCACCCTCTCTGGGAAAGGACACCTCCCTAGGCTTCCCGCATTCCCCAGAGTGCGCCTCCCTCCAGGAAGGTCTACACCTCCACACACCAATTTCCTCCCCTTGAGCATTTCCATACTCCGCCTCCAAGTCCCCTCCCAGCAGCTCTGCTCCCCAGAGTCTGCAGCAGTGGGGGTGACTGAAGTTTCGGGGGACGCCCCAGGAGGATGAAACTGCTTTCCCCCATCCCAGGAAGGACCATCCATGGAAAGCAATGGTCCTGAGAAGCTGGGGTCCAGCTACTTCCCAGTCCTGGCCTCGGTTCTCCCTCCAAAATAAGCACCCAGAAGGCAGGGTGGGGAAGGGCCTGGATGCTCCCTGGGCCCTGTTTCCATGGGTCTGTGCCATAAGCTTGGGGTCAGCTCCTGTCTGCAGCACTGTTGGTGCTCCACAGTGGGGCACAGTGCAAACCCAGACCTTCCTGAGCAAACTGGCAAGACCCTGGGGCTGAGCAGGGCGCATCTGCTGTTCCTCCCCTACAGGGCCCCCTGGAAGACAGATCAGCTTTGCCCACAGAGGAGCCTGCCAGGTGCCTTGGTGCCTGCATACTGCTATGAGGTGTCAGCCTTGCTCCTGGTTCCCCCCTCACCTCCCTGGGGCTGGGCTCACCTCCAGATGTCGTTGAGCTCTGTGGGGACCAGCTCTCCAGACTCGGTCTCCAGAGTGGCAAAGCCACCAATGGCATAGAGGGTGCCCGCCAGGCTGACCAGGCTGAGCGAGCTGCGCTCCTGCGAGAAGGCCTCAAAGGGCGCCCACCTGGGAGGGGGGTGAGGTGCATCACCAGGGGCCTCAGCAAGCCCAGGGTGCTCCTGCCACCAGCGCCCACAGCTTCTGCTGCACCCTCTGCGATCCAAACCCCAGGCTTCCGTGCTCCAAGCACAAGCTCCTGTTCTCCGACCCTCTCGGGAGTGCCTACCTGGTGTTCCCGCCTCAGCCTCGGAGCGTCCCAACCCAGTTCCCCTTCCCTCTCCCTCTAGTGGTCACTGCCTTTCCCAGTCTCTTGCTCCTCCCCTTTCCCTTCCTGGTCCTTGTCATTCCATCCAAGCTGCCCAGTGAAGGCCACCATGGATCTCCCCACTGTCCCCCCTCCTCTCCTGAACTAACTCCCACCCACCAACTCACGACCCCAGTCCCTGGCAGACCCCAGCCTTGCCCTGGACATAGTCCTCTTGCTCCTCGGTGGCCAGTGACACCCCATCCCTTGCCTCCTATCCATCCTTCTTCTCACACACAGCTTTCTCAAGGCATCTTCGCTCCCCTGGCTCCCGCCTTGGGCCTTCATCCCCACCCACCAAAACTGCTCTCACTGAGGTCTGTGGCCACCGCAGGGCTTTAAAATCCAGGGCCCCCAACACACGCCACTGCTGATGTGACTCTCACCTGCTACCTCTCCAAGCTCACGTTCTCAGACTTCTTCCTGGATAACGCATCTGTCCCCAGCGTCCCTCGGGCGTGGGCCTCAGCTCCTCGCACTTGCACCCTCTCTCCTGGGGGGGCTGAGCCCCTCCATGTGCTGTTGACCCCAGATCTCTCCCTCTAGCTCAGCCCTCTCTCTGCCCCAGTGGGCTCCTCCTGGACACCCCTGGGCACCTCCTATCTGGACCCTCACTTTCCCTGTCTCATCCCAGTGGTTCTCCAATAAATGGCTTCCCACCCTCACTCAAAAGCATCTACTTTCCCCCTCACTTAACCCTACAATCCAATCAATTGCTAAGCTCTGTTCCAGCCCTAAACTCTGGCTATTCAAAGTGTGGTTCGTGGACTAGCAGCCTCAGCATCACCTGGGGGTTTGTTAGAAATACAGACTCTCAGGCTCTCCCCGGACCTGAGAATCTGCATTTTAACATGATTCCCCAGGGAGACCCACATGCACATCAGAGGGCGAGAGGCCCTGGCCTAAGTCTTTCTCCAGTGCATCCACCCAGCCCCATCCCTGCTGTACCCCCAGCTCCAGGCCCCCATCACCTCTCACTACAGCTGCACCCCTGACCTCCCTGCCTCCTGGGAAACCCCAGTCTCCTCTCTACATCAGCTGCCGTGAGGCGCTTTAGCAGAATGCAGATGGGCACTTAAAACCAGTGAGAGGCATTTCACTGCCCCTCTCTTGCTGTCCCCTTCCAGCCCCAGCACCGCCATCCCACTTCCCTTCACCAACCACCTGCCACCCAGCCTGAGCAATGCCTTCCCTCCAGTGTGTCCTGCCTTTTTTCTCCTGACTTCCTTGGCACCAAGCTTCCTTTGCCTGGGCATCCTTTGCCCACCCACCCTGGCCCCTTTTGCGGCTGAGTACAGCCGTCTGTCAGCTCAGTTTTCTCTTTCTTGATGTCCCAGGCAGGGGAGCTTCTGTGTTGTCCACTGCTATATGCCTTGACCAGGCCACTGCCTGCTATGAGTCCCTGAATGAGGAAGCTGGCATCCCCTACTCCAGCCCTGGGGGCTTCCTCTTGCAGGCCAGGCTGGCCCTAACCCTTCCCCACCTTTTACCAGGATGCCGCCCTCCCCACTTTACTGCTGATCAGAGGAGAGGCACTGTTTCTGTGCCGATTTCCAAACTCAACCGTGGAGACCCAACACAGGGGCTACCTGCCAGGGCCCACACAGGCCCAAAGCCACACAGCTGCCCTTGTGGGGAGGAGGGAGCGAGCTGCGTACTTGTTGTCTGCGATGTTGTACACCTCCGCAGAGCTGGTCAGCCCCGTGTCGGTGACCCCAGCTGCCACAAATATACGCCCGTCATGGATGGTGGCACCAAAGAGTGAGCGGGCGGTCTGCATGGGTGCCAGCTCCTTCCACTCGAACTTCTTGGGGTCATAGACGCACATTTTGTTCAGGCACTTCCTGTGGGATGGCGGGCGGTGAGTGAGCAGAGAGTAGCAGGAGCAGGGCCACCCTTCCCTCCTGCTGCTTCTCCCAGGGCAGCCAGGACAGACCCCTGACAGCATAGGAGAGACTCTGCTCCTAGTCGCCGGCTGCCGCAGACTCGCTCCAGGCCCTAGCCTCACCTGTCGCTGCCTTTGCCGCCAATGACGTAGACCAGGTCCATGTGGGAGAGCACCGCGTGGCCATACACAGCATAAGGCAGTGGGTCCGATTCGCCCCATTTGAATGACCTGGAGGGGACCGGAGTTGGGCGGACACCGGGCTCAGGCATGTGCTCTGTCCTTGTGTCCGCATTCACCCACCTTCCCAACACACGTTCGGGGTGCACCCCATGTTTTGCTGGGACTTCCCAGACCTCTCAGTCCCTCGCTCCCACGCCA